CCATGACACAAATTCAGGCCATTCAGACAGCAAAACCTGTGTTCTCTGCTAGTGTACCATTCTACGTTTACCAAGATAATCAGTGACTGGCAGTGTGATTGATATACTTCACCATGTTAGCACAGTGGAATGTGATTGAGTCCAAGATTATGGACTAGCTTTGGGATGTTGAGTTCTAACACTAGCTCTGTAATTTGAGTAAATCATTTAATCTCCATTTTCTTTTCCTTTGTTTGAAAATTTTTATACCTGAGCAATCACAAGAAGAAACATTGTTGTCCTGTTGCTCTAGCTCTGCTCTGTAAGTCAGGAATGTTGAGGAAAACATTAATACGATACTGGATTACAAAACAACTTTTATGTGGGAAATGATTTTATCTTAATGGGAGAGTACTTGTATAATATCTGAAGCCCCTTGGTTTATATTTTTTAAATTCTTTAGTCTCTAATAAAAAAAATCAGTAATTTGTGCTGGGTAGAGACATTTTTGTATATTTTCTAGCTTGCAAATGTACATGGAAACTTAAGTTGTAGAGCTTGAAAAGGCCATTTGAAGTTTTGCTCAACTATTAGCAGTTTAGTTATCTCTGGAGTTTATAGTCTACACACACACTCCTCCTCCTCTGAAATTGTTCTGAATATTCTGCTTTAGATAGTTACTAACTGATATTAAGGGATGGTGTCTTAGTCTGGTTTATTATAACCTCTGCATATTCTGTCAGCAAACTAAAACCACATGCACATATAGTAGTCCCCTTGTACATGGGATAAATTCCAATATCCCCAGTGGATACCTGAAATTGTGGTAGTGCCAAACAACAATAATACAATAAAATAATAAAATAGTACCAAACAACAATAATAAAATATAATGAAATAAAATTATGTGAATATGGTCATTTGTTGGAGGGAATCACTTGTGCTAAAAGTTTTCGTATAGGCTCAGTGCTTTCTTGCTGCTGTCATTCAGAACCCGTTCGTTCAAGTCTTCTACCCACAAATTTAGTGCCTTTTCCATCTTAACAAAGGGTTTATCGTGCACTGTGGCTGTTTAAGGTATGACAGCTAAACTAGCACAAATTTCTTTTTACTTCCTCATAATGTCATGGTTAGAAGAATCATTCTTACTGTAGATCTATCTTCACAACCTCACCATATGATTTTTTTTTTCAAGTTAAGAACTTTAACTTTTTCACTTAAGGAAAGCACTTTGCATCTTCTCTTTGGCATATCCAAATTGCAAGCATCACTGCTCTTATACTTTGGGGCCATTCTTCAATAAAATAAGCGTTATTTGAACACAAGCACTGTGAAACAGGAACAGTTGATCTAATAGCTGCCAAGTGATTAATGGGCAGGTAACATATATATATATATAGCGTGGATATGGTAGATAGAAGGATGATTTGTGTCCTGGGCTGGACAGAGCAGGATGGTACAAGATTTTATGCTGTTTAGATGGTAACATAGTTTAAACACTATGAATTGTTTATATCTGAAATTTTTAATTTAGTATTTTTGGACCATAGTTGACTGTGGGTAACTGAAACCCCAGAAGGCAAAATTGTGGATAAGGAGGACTACTGTATGTGGAGTATTGAACCCATTATGATCATTCGGGTTTGTATTTTTATTTATGAAAATTTATAAATAGCTACATTTTATTTATATTTGATATGGATGGCACCCTATGTATCTAACCAAAAAATAGTGATTTAGGTATAAGAGGCCATTTCAGAAAAGTTCAATGGACCTGGGATTGAATAAGATTAGAGAAATAGGAAAGAAGTTGTTTTTCTAAAGAGTTTCTTTTTATAAGCCCTCCAGAAAAGATATGAGTAATAAGACTCAGCTTGAGTCATCTGCTTAAGAATCCTCTTGATTGATAGTTGAGCTGGTATTTTATTGCTAGGATGATTGAAAGAACTGTTTTTCCTACCTCCTCCTTTTTCTTTCACATTCATACTCATTGGACATGGCTTGGAGAGGACTTTTTTTTTTTTTAACCACTTCATGGAGGTGTGACTGACATACAAAAAACTGTACCTATGTAATGTATACAACCTGATGAGTTTGGAGGTAAGTATTCACCTGCAAAACCATCACCACAGTCTATACAGTAAGCATATCCTTTTCTTCCAACAGTTTTTTCTCTGTCGTCTTTGGAGTGAATTCTAGCTCAGTAATTTCTATCCAGATCAGAAGTAGGTGAGAAACTAATGAGTAATTGTTGCAGGGTTTCCCAGATTGTGAATGTAGAACTTGTAAGTTTTAGGCGGTATAAAAAGAGCTCCTTAGTCAGAGATTAGCAGGAAATCATTCAGTCAAAAAGTGTAACCTGTTATATGCCAGATATGATTTTAGTGGCTCAGGGATTCAGCAGTGAAAAAAATCCCTGCCTTAATGGAGCTGGCATTTGACTGGCAAGAGGGAGTCCAGGGAAAGAAATAAGGAATGTGGGGTTGGAATTTGAGGGTTGCTGGTAGGAGGCTGCTGCTATTTTTAAAAGAGTGGGCAGTTATAAAACTTCATTTTAAGGTGACAGTTGAGCAGAGTTGAGGTTCATAAGTGAATGAGCCATGCAGGTATCTGGGGGAAGAGCATTTCAGAGAGACTAGCAGATACAGATACCTTAGAGTGAACTTGTTGGGTGTATTCCAGGAAGTAGCAGAGAAGCTGGCGTGGCTGGAGCAGAGTGAGCAAGGAGGGGGGCTAGCTGAAGTCGCAGAGACTATCAGATCTAATAAGGCTTTGTGAGATAGTGTAAGGGCACCCAGTGAAATGAGAAGTGCCTTGTGGGTTGTGAACAGATGAGTGACATGATTGGATTTATGTTTTCAGGTCAGTTTGGTTGCTCCATGATAATAAGCCAAGAACAGAAAGTTCACATAAGACGGGTAAGGAGGCTGTTGGCAATAATCTGAGAGTGATGGTGCTTTGGACTAGGCTAGTAGTGTAACTAGTGAGGAGGACTTAGATTCTGGGTACATTTTGAAGGTAGAGGCAACAGAATTTCCTGTTGGATTATAAGTGAGGTAAGGGTATAAAGAGGATTACAAGCTTTTTGGCATTAGCAGATGTAAGGATGGATTGGATGTTTGCTCAGTTGGAGAAGACTGCTTGAGAAGCAGATTTAGGGGAAAAGATTAGGGTTTCTGTTTTAGACTTGATAGCAAGCATTCAAGTGGAAACATTGAGTAGGAAGCTGAATATATGACTCTGGTGTTAGGAGAGAAGGCCAAGTAGGATGTATACATTTTGAGGTTAATTTGAAGCCGTGATTATAGATGAGATCAGCTTCACCTTTTTAAAACAATGTGGATAGACAAAAGGGTTTAGAACCTGAACCTTAGGGTTACAGATTGTGACAAGCAGAGTGACAAATAGGGGCCAATAGAATAGAAAGAAGGAAAATTTTAGTGCTTGGAAGGCAAGTGAGAAATGCATTTCCAAGGAGGAATGATCAGCTCTTTCAGTTGCTGCCAGATAGGTAAAGTACGATAAGAACTGAGACTTTGCCCATTCACTCTCACAATGTGGAAGTCACTGGTGATCTTCTTGACTAATGTCAATGAAACGGTAGAGATGGAAGCCTTACTAGAGTGGCTTCAAGATATAATGGGAAAAATAGGACTTGGAGATGGTGAACATAGTTATTCACCTCCCTTGCCCCGAGATTTTGCTGTAAATGGGAAAGAGAAATTAGGTGGTGCTGGAGAAATATGTGGGGTTGTGAAGATTTGTTTTTAAGATGGGGAACTGATGATTTTGAATGCAGATGAAAATTACATAGCAGAGAAGAAAAAATTTGATGGTGCTGGGAGGGGAGATTGCCAAAGGGGTGCTTGAATAGGTGAGTTGTGATGGAACTAAAGCAGTACTTGTTAAACATCATTCGTATACATACTGCCTGGGGTTCTTGTTAAAATGCAGGTGATGGTTCTGTAGGCCTGGATAGGGGTCTGAAATTCTCCATTTCTAACAAGTTCCCAGATTTTGCCTATGTTCTTGGGCCCTGTGGTATAATTTGAGTATAAGAACTTGGCATTTTGAACACAAGAGCTAGCAGATTACATTGGTAAACAATCAACTAGGTTAGTGGATATGGTGAGTTTGTGCACTTTCTTTTCAGGTTGTTCCTGTCTTCTCAGTGGAACAGGAAGCAAGTTATTATCCTAAAGTGAGGATGGAGGAGGTGGTGTAAAATCATCTAGAAGAGTTGAGTCAGTAGACTAGAAAAGCAGAATTGTGGGATTGCACTAAGGGCCCACTTGCGATTAGAGGCCATGAATTTAAACTGAGATGGATTAAATATGGGTGTGTGTTCATTTACTTTCAACTACATGGGTGCAGGTGAACTGTAGGCAGGCAGCGGAGGCTTAGGATGGCATGTATTTTGGATGGAGGAACCAGAAGGGAAAGTGACAATGTTGTATAAGAGGTAGTTACAAATGATGGATTATGGTATCTAAACTGGTAAAGGAGGAAAGGTGAGAATGCTAGCTTAGAGAAGACGTGGGTTTTTTTGTGTGTGTGTTTTGGTTTTGGTTTTGGTTTTGGTATATTGTTTTGTTTTTAATTGCAGGTCTTCTCCCAATCTTTATTTGCTTAGGAGCTCTGTAAATCTTCAAGAAAGGAAATCTCTGAACTTGTGTTGTACTAAATAAACTTAGGGGCATCTTACATTTTCACCTGAAGCGAGTATTAACATTAGGGATTATGGTTTTATTTAAAGTAGAGTGTTCTGCTGTAGATAAGGGAGGGAGGTCTTAAAGGATTTTTAAAAATTGTTTCTATCTGAAAACTGTTTTAAATGTATTTCTTTATTTCTGTTAAAATAGGTTGTTAATGTCCTTATAAATCATACAGCTTTATTATTATTATAGCCATATAATAAAATATTTACTATATGGACAAATACAGACAAATTTCAACCATTGGTTTTTTTTTCTTTTTTTTTCCTTTTTTTTTGTCTCTTTTTTCTCTCTTGGATATTACAGATGACCATGGATGAAAAATATGTAAACAGCATTTGGGACCTTCTGAAAAATGCAATTCAAGAAATCCAGCGTAAGAATAACAGTGGTCTTAGTTTTGAGGAGCTCTATAGAAATGCATATACAATGGTTTTGCATAAACATGGAGAAAAGCTCTACACTGGACTAAGAGAAGTTGTTACCGAACATCTCATAAATAAGGTATCCAACTTTAAAGGACTGTTACTAATTATATTAAATCTAGAAAATCCTTTATACCATATTTTACTTTGACTAGAAGTACTATTTTTAAAGGCTCCAGGAAGCTTATAGAAATAATAATCAAGTAATTGGTTGTATTACAAAACCTTACTCAAAACTTGTAATCAGGTAATCAGATTTTAAGAAAGCAAACTTTCAGTAATTTACAAGTGCTTATTAACATGTTAATTATAGATCATTTTTCCTTAAAATGCTTAATCAGCTGATATTAGTTTTCTCCACTTTCTCTGTATAGTTGAAAACATTAAAACGACATTATTTAAAAAATATTGTCTAAGATTTTTCACCATTTGAAATTGACTTTATTCATTTTACCTGAGTTTTACTATACAAATGTGAATTTAAAAAATAGAGTGGTGGGCTGTTAACATTATAAAATGGTTCTTTGGTTCCAAAAAGATGTAGGTGTGTTTTTTTTTTAGAACACTTGTTTTTATAGAGCAAACTCTTCCAGTGCAAGTATGTCTTGCTTTAAGATTGTCAGATAAAATGTAAATGCCACAGATAAATAAAAACTTCTCAGAGTTTTTGTGTGGTATTAGATTATTAATTTTTTTTAATTTTATTTTGAAAGAATGGAAAAGTTGCACCAATAGTATAATGATCTGTTTTATTGTAGATTCACTTGTTAGCATTTTACCATATTTTTGCCAATCTTTTTATTGATACCTATTATTACTATTATTGATATTATTATTGCTGAACAATTAGAGAATGAGTTTTAGATTTATTTACCCTCAAATACTGTGGAGTGTTACTCCTAAGAACAAGGAAATTCTCTTACTTAACCAAAGAACAATGTTCAAAACCAGGCAGTTGAACATTGCTGTAATACTGTTATTTAATACAGTCCACATGTAAATTCACCCTTGTGCTGTGTAGCAGAGATGTCCTTTATAGCTGTTTGTTTTCTGATCCAATCCAGGATCACACACACAATTCCTCAGCTTTTCTTTGTCTTTCAACACATTGACATTTTTGAAGAGTATGGGTCAGTTGTTTTGCAGATTGTCCCTCAGTTTTTGGTTTGTCTGATTGTTTCCTCATGACTAGTTTCAGGTTATGCATTTTTGGCAGGAATAATACATAAGTGATGTTGTGTCCTCAGTGCATCACATCAGGAGGCACATGATGTCAGTTTATCCCATTATTGGTGATGTTAACTTTGATCACTTGGTGTTCGCCAGATTTCTCCACTGTAAAGGTACCTTTTTTCCCTTTGTAATTCATAAGTAATTTGTTCAGATATATTTTGAGATTGTGTAAATATCCTGTTCCCCAAGAAACTTTCATGTAATGGTTTTAGCATCCATTGATGATTCTTGCATGAATCATTATTACTCTAGTGATTACAAAATAGTCACTTTTTATTTCTACTGTTCTTTCTGCAAGTCTTTTCCCTTAAGTGGAATTATATCATAAAGCAGGTGATTGTGTTCTCCAAACAAATCAGCAGGTTTTTGTTAAGTGCCTACTATGCACAGCCTTCTAGGAAAGTACAGTGGCTGTACGATATATAAGGAGACATATGCTACTATCCCTTCCTAGGTTTGTTTTTACTGTGATGTGCGAGACAATACACACATTTAGATAACAGTGTGAGGCGTTATATAAATACGTGGTAATTAAGTTACCCTGGGCTGTAAGATTTTATGCAAAAGGATCAAATTGAACTGAGCTGTGGCAGATTTGGGATATAAGTAAACAGTGTGGAAGGCATTCCAGGGATTGCAGATGTCACATGATTATAGAGAAATATACGCTCAGATAGAATTTGAAGTGTATATATATTACAATTTATGGGGATTATTGGATTATAGTGTTACAAAAATGGTTTGGGAACAAATTGGAGAAAAACCTGATTGCCAAGTTAAGGGATTTGGACTAATAGTTGAGGTTTATTGGATATTTTTAGTAGATGGTAATATGACAGTATTTTAGTAAGATTAGAATGGAAATGATAGACATGTTGAATTGAGAGATGATTTGATAGAAGCAAGAGAAAACCCAGAAAAATCAGAGTATAGTGATAGGCTAGAAATGAATTGATGATGCCAGAAATTCTAAAGAAGGACTAGATAGGCTTTGGTTACTGGGAGAATTATGGTCTCACCAATAGAAATATTGTAAAGTTGGAGTGGGAAACTGATGCGGAACGAGTAGAGGAAATGAAAAATGTTGTTTTAGATTATATTGGAAATTTTTATAGTTGGCAGGCACCTTAGAAGTTATTTTATGTTCAGAGAAAATTGAGTGTGAGATTGTAATAAGATGCTCAAGTAGAAACGTGTGTCTGGAGATATACAGGATTAGAGCTTGGGCAGGAGCTCAACACTGAAGATCAGCTGGACATTTGGTAGTAGCCTGTACTGAGGAATGAGTATTGGGGTTCCGAAAACAAAAATCCCAGAGTCAAGGGGTGAATCTTCAAGAGCAAACTGGTTAAATAGGGATGGGGGGGGGGCTAATTTACAAAGCTTGGTATCAAAAGAAAGAAGAGAAATAGAATGGAAGAGTTTTGCTTAAAACTCTTGAAAGGGGAGAAGATTGGAGCAGCTGAGGTTTTGCATGTGGAGAGAGTTGGCAACAGTGGGGGGAGTAAAGGTAAAAGAGAGGGGCGTGTTCTCATTTGCCAGAGTTCTGTTGGGAATGATAACAGTCATAACTGACTCTTGATTACTTACTATGTGCCAGGTCCAATTCTAATGCTTTTTACAAGTATTAACTTAGTTAATGGTCACAATCCAATGAGTCAGATGCTACTGTTATCTCTATTTTATAAGTGAAGAAATTGAGGCGCAGAGAATTGGTAATTTGTCCAAGCGCACATAGCTAGTAAATGGCCTTGGACATTCAGTCAGTGTGGCTTCAGCCTGAGTCCTTGACCTCTGTAGATTGGCTCGTGAGGCGTATGTAGTGCATGGATCAGCGTGCAGTGAATATGCTGGCCTTAAGGGAGCTTGGGGCGTCTTCAAGTCAATTGACTCAATGTTTGTGAAGCTATAGTCCTTTAAATTCTAGGTCTTAGTTTATATAATTAAAATGAAGAAATTGGCAGTAATATCTCCAAGATTCTTTAGTTCTAAAACTATTATGAATCAGATAATTAAACCACGTGTCTTCTGAAAACAAGATAAAGAGGCTTGAAATAGCCTTTGTGGAGAATATACTTAGGAATTGTTAAGTAAGGAAAACGATAGCTCAGTAGAAAATGGCCTAAAGGTGTATTTAGGTTTTTGTTTTGTGTTTTTTAAGCAGTGCTTTGCAGCTTGGGGCGCAGATGTAGAAAAACATCTGTAGTTATTGTGCTGTAGTTGAGAATTGGCTTATCCAGTAAGTGAGGAGAGGAGGCCAGAGTGTGAGGTCAGTGTTTTAAGTGATTAGTTTTTGGACTCTGCAACATGGTTAGGTAGAAATTGAAGTCATGTGAACAAATAACTCCATGGTAATTGGGAGAGGTTTAGCATATTTTCAGTTGCTTAAAGTGGTCCTATATTATAAGGTTAACTGTCATGTCAAAATACAGCAGTTCCCCCAATATATCCCAGAGAACGTGTATTCTTGTTGAATGTGCTAAAGAAATTAAAAATATATGCTAAATTCTTAATTTTTTTTATGTAGGCCTTAATTATGTATCTTCAACATCTGAAAATGTTCTTTAACTTTTTTCTTTCACAAACACTCATTTGCTCAGCTTAAACTATCAGTTTCTGGCTAGGAAATGTACCAGTTTCAGCATATCTAATTCTTTATCTCAATCAAATTACTTTTTGAAACTCTGCAAGTATCTGTGCTTTCATTTTTGTGTTTTCCATTTATCTTACTTGATTTTTACTTTTATGAAAATTTAACTGTGAATACTACTGTGTGGAGACACTGCTGAAATAAGTCTATTAACTGGCAGGTTAGGGCCATCATACCATAGCTCAAAATGTTTGTCCTCTGATGTAGGAAGTTTCACACTTGTTCTACCAAATGGGACGTTCAGAAATGTTTCTGATAAAATGTGCTGAGTGCAGTTGGCATGAAAATCAGTATCATGGGTCTCAACATTCCACCTTCTAACTGGAAGATGAAGAAATGGTTTAAGGTTCTGTTGATGTAATTATGTTCAGTCTCAAGGAGTATATATTCCCTTTGTGTTTTGAAAGCGTTACTGCATGGTCTGTTCATCAGTTTTTTGTTCATTGTGCTTGTAATAGTTAACTGAACTGGCGTATATACATATAAAGTGAACCAAGCCTTGCTTAAAGGTTCTACTGAAGTGAACCTTTCTGGTGTTTTAGTGCTGAGGCATAGATGGTCAGAACCTGTCTCTTCACGTTGAAGAACTCAAAGGAAATACAGTTTTTACTTGGAATCAATAGAGTCAGTGTTCACTGTAGTTTATCAGTACCCTGATTTCAAAATGAGAAGAGTGAACATTTTGAGGAACATTTGTGGTAAAGCAGAGGGCATATGAAGAGAGAACACATCTTTGGGATGAAAGTATCTGACTGTTGACTTTGGAAATGAATTCACAAAATTGAAGCAGGCATAGAAAATCCAAATGCTAATTTCTGTTTCTTGGTAGTATTTTCTTTCTGTCTCTAGAAGAATGTTCCCTTTGAGGAAACTGAGACCCAAAGGAATTCAGTGAATTCCACAAGACCACAAAACAAAAATGAGGGTGTGATGTGGCTTTTGTGCTTGGCCTTAAGAAGAATTTTGTCTTATTTTGTAAATATGAAAACATTTCAGATTTCACAGGAATTCTTTTTTCTTTAACATTTTTTCTAAATAACTTTAAGAGCATGGTTACATTGGAGGGGAGCAAGTTCTTCTTTCCAGTTTTAACAATTTTTAAATTATAGATCATTTTGTTAAAGCCTCAAATGTATCCTTGTGAGACATTGCAGAATTCAACATTCACAAGTATCTATTATTTGCCAGGCTCTGGC